TCGAAAAATATTCATTATTTGTTGAGGTAATGTACGGGAGGAGCATTCTTATAGCATTAAATTTCATCGTGATCAAAATTTTTTCTACTCCAATGGCTCGATACTTATAAAGGTGCTCTATGAACGAGTTGAAGCTCTGGTAGGAGATTTGGCTCAGTGTAAAAGCGCTAACCCTAAGGGCAGCCACCCAAACCCACCTCTCTAGGTGAGAAGCTGAGTCTGTCTGCTCCCTTAGAGATTTACAAAGCCTTAGGACCCTACAGAGTGTGAGGAGAGTTGGAAAGGACTCAGTGACCATGGGTCAGAAAAATTTGCTCATTTAAGTGATATATATCCTCTTGCTCCTGCAAAGTGACTCGGCAGTGTTTCAGAAGTATATCTATTTGAGTATAGAATTGCTTTTAATTTAAAAATTGGGGGAGTGCTTTTACTATGGATTTGGGGGAGCGGGGGAATGATAAAAGTTGATCTCATAGCAACTTGTTTACACTACATTGTGATAAATATCTATTACAAGACTCCTTTATGAGAGAGAAAATGTCATATGACATCTTCATATCCCATTTATCAATTTACTCTAGCATATATATCTCAAATGATCATTAAATTGTTATTTTAAAATTGTTAAATGTTACTATGGTTTGCTGAATTAAACTCTATTGACCATTGATTTTACATTCATGGGACATAATAACAAGAACAATTAGAACTGAGAAAAAAGTACTTAAAAATAATGTTATTTTCAGATGATTTAAGGGAAGTACAGAATGCTGACAACATAAAGATGCATTTCTAATGTAATCATAATTTAGGAGGGAAATTCTTAAATCCTCTCGGGTGACCTTAAAGGACTCATAGTTAAGTAGGATGTATTGTTTCTGAGATAAAATGTATTCAGTTGGTTTGCCATTAAATAACATGAAATTAAAACCTCAATTTTACCACACAATAGAATCTAGTGCTATGCCAGTATTTGAGAATTCCAGAGCCAAACATAATGGCACATGGTTCAAACTTCATGACCGGCTGGACTATGAATGCCATGATGGCTATGAAATCACAGGAGGAAGCACCACAGGCTCTGTAGTATGTGGTGAGGATGGCTGGTCTCATCCACCTAACTGCTATGGTGAGTTCTGTACCGGTTTGTTTTTCTTTCTATCTTCATAACTTTCAGATGCTATAGTCTATCTGTATGAGTTTCTGTGGAGGGTGGGATTTTAATGATCTAGAAACATTGTTCAGGAATGATCATTTAAACCAAACTGATTTTATGTAAACTGGGAGGAAATAGTGTTTGAAGACCAAAAATAATATTCTGTTTTTAAAAGAGTGCATAATATATGTTTTCTGTGGGCAACAGGCATTACACATGTTCCATTAAAATGTATTTTTAATAAATCTTACATTCACATTTTTAAATTATTTAAAGTTGACACTCATGATCAAATTCTGGTTAATCATAATCCCTTCAACTATTTTATTTGAGTGCCTGCTTTTGCTTTCTTCTTTAAAATGATTAGCTGTACAATTTTCTAAGCAAAGGAAATGGTATAGGCAATGCTCTAACATAAAAATAAATTTTAAAAACTGAGCATGAGAGGAATCTGCTACAGGTGTGGGTGATTTTATTAGCTAAGTCTGGAGAGGAGTCAAAAGCAAGATGATCCACAACTTTTCAGGACATATAACATTGGACAATTTTATACTTGATGAAAAGATAGAAAGGGGGATTAAGAAAATCGGTGATGCAAATAGACTTGCATTTTGGAAAGGCTCTGTTTTCTTTTTGTGCGTGTGGTAGTCATGACAGGAAGCAAAGAGCCTACATATAGTGAGATACGTGGACTGAAGAGATGCGGAGCTGAGAGTGGGTTTTGGATGTATTGGGCCATAGAAAGGAGAGACAGAGTTACTGTGTGTTGGATCCAGCATCTCAGGCATTTGTTTTCATTTTCAGAGACACGTTAGTAAATTAAGGTGACCAGATTTAAAGCGGGACACCATTGACCGGGGGCGGGGGGAGGGGTGATTCTTGATGAAAAATTTGGTCATATGGACCAAATAGACCGTTCCCTAGCTTGTTGTGCATTCTTTCCAAAACTCGAGACTTTTTAAAAATGCCAAAAGCGGGACATCTGGTCACCTTATCATAAATGGCAGTCATTTATGTCCACATGTCTGTCTGCTTGCATGTGCAGAAAGGGGGCAGGTCTCACTACCAGCAGACATAAAACAGCTAAGAAGGAGGCGCATACAACTACCATGGGTGCTACTCTCATCTGTCAATGAGTTGGGCACATGAGATACTGACACAGTGTTGGCAAAATGAGAATCATTATTAGTATTTATACCAAGCAAACAGCAACCAATACGGACAGATTCTGAAGGAGAATTGTTGCCCTTCCTCAAATTACCAATATCTATTCGTGCATTGCTGGCCAGGCATATTGTGGCCTAAGACAGATACTGTGCACATGTTACTGTTGCCTTTGGCTACACTTCTGCTGCTGCTAGGAGCCTGCATGCTTCCCAAGTCTTCTGCTGTGCCCTGGGCCTCCCTTGGCTTTGCCTTGTCTTCAGGGAACCCTCTGCACAAGTTCTCCTGTGCTTCTCCTGTAGATCTGTCAATGTCATTGTTACTGCCTCCCTACTGGTTTCCTCCACGCTGCCTGAGGATCCACTTAGAAGGGTTAGGTAGCTCTAGCCAGGGACACATGCAGGCCTCTGTCCTGCATGTAAAGAATTATAGTTTTTTCAGCTCCATGGACTAATGCCTGAAGGTACCCTTCTCTTTCAGAAATAATCATAATTGATATCACTCAGTTCTCTATTCTTGGCTGGCAAGGTCATGGCTGGGCTCACAGTTCTGCTGCTCAAAATGCTGCTGTTCTTTCTCTACTGCTTGGCTTTGCTGTGTTTGCTACTCTTAATAAACC